ATGCCATAATCGAGCAGCCCTAGTTTAGAGCTTCACGTCTGCCACAGGAAGCGGCATCATGCATCTCCTGTCTTCTGTGATGTTTCTAACCTGTCTGTCAAAGCGGTATAAGGCCCTTTTGAGACAGTGTGGAAGGCGCTTTAATTCGTGCCATCTTGCCGGAGTATTTCTTGTCTGTATTTGGCTTACTTGTCATTTGTTTAGGCGCTGACTGTTTTGAATACTGAAGTGTTTCACAGCTCCTTAGGGAACTGATATGACTTCACTGATACCACACTTAATTGATTTATTTTTTTTCTTTTACCCTTATTGGTTGAATTCCCTTATTTTATTGTAGCAACAGTCAGTCAAAACTTAAAATGGATGCAGCGAGGGGGGGGAAAATGTTGTTTGAAGTCAAAGAAGAAAAAAATTGCTAAGCTCGCCTGTGTTGCACGGATATACCATGCAGTATTTACCCTTGTAACATGTGTGCTGCCTAGCTGAGAAGCAATAGTGTCTAATGGATTCCTGTTTTAAGCCCAAGTTGTGTAGACAGATGTTTCGGCATATTGCTGGTGTTTCCACCCGTACTTGAAATGATCGTTTTAAAGCCATTAAAACTAGCACTGCTATCCTTTTTTCTCTCAAATGAAGCCATGCTTTGCACCGTTTCCTCCTTTTCATCTTGACTCCTTTTTGTTAGAAGTTTCCAACAAAGTAGATTCATGAGTTTAACAACATTGTTTTTGCAAGACTCAACAGTCAGAAAAACACGTTGGCATCAATAAAAAGAAAAAAGTAACCCAGGGAACATCCTACTCTGATGGATTGGACAATTTGGAACCGGTTCTCATTTCCTGACTTTAGTTTGGGGACTTGTAATTATGTACAGAGGATATTGAAAGACTTTTATATTCACAGTTGAAGATGAAGGCCATATCTGGAAGCTGCATTATTATAAGTAGAATGAGTCACTGGCACACGTGTCAATACGACACAGCAACACCTTTTAAGATAATGCCAGCTGCTCAATGTTAAAACTAATCCGAATCAAGTGCCATGAAAATAACTTTATCACTTTCCTAGAAATCTCTGTGCATTTTGCACCCTTACAAGTACATTACACACGGTCTTTTAATTTGGTACCTGAACCACTGAGTGGGGTAAAGAGCCGCTCTTTTATTTCTCAAACACAAGAAAGCTTCTTGCTCTTTTGAGACACTAATGAAATCTCTTTGCTCATAAAGTTTCTCTCTTAATTTGAATAAGAGTTTTATGGATCTAATTAATGACCAGATGCAGTTTGCCAAAGGCTATTTTTCCTTCAGGCAAAGCATCTTTGTTCATTTAACCATAATGAAAAGTTATTTCCATTAGTTAGACATTAGATAGATAGTGTTTTTTCTGAACCTATCAAATTTGCATATAAATGTTCTGATTTCTCAGGATCCATGTGTCCTGTTTTTGCTTTGGAATATAATGAAATAAGGGAAGCACATTTTCCTCACATTCATATCTATTAAAAAAATGCTAAAGCTTGTTCGGCTAAGACATATTTTTAGTTAATACTCTACTTTATATTGACGCAAGAAATAAACCAAGTTTGACTTTGTTATAGATTTTACTTACCACAGAGGACTCTGACTGGCCCCTGGGTTCAATATAATTGTCTGATGTTCCTAAATACTGGGGCAGTGCATTATCTACCCAATAATTCTTAAGGGCTCTGCATTTCTTTCTTTCTTTTCTTCTGTTATTTCCTGCATCTGAATGCATACGTGTCGTGAGTATGTGTGGGACTGGGTGGCTGTAATGCCCTTTATCATGCTAAACTAAATTGGATTAAAGTATGGACACGCTGAGTATGCACAGTTCTAATGAAGGGCATCTCCTCTACGTTTGGCAGCGTAAAATCGCCTTTATTACATCGCACAGGACACAAAATGAGGTCATGCTTTTTATTCCCTTCCAAGGAAAAGGCTTTACTTGTCATTGACGAGGTCCCTGCTGCAGAAAGGAAGCAAAGAGGGGAGGATGCGGGATAACCAAAGGTTCTTCAAATCTGGCCTTAAATTGAAGTTAAAGGCTTTATAATAATAATAATAATTTTGCTCTTAAATAATCTCACAATTGACTGAATTGGGATTAAAAGCCAGGATGTCTGGCAGTGAAAATCCTCTCCTCCCACTTGCTTAGCCAACTAAACTCAGTCACGTTCATACTATTTATTTATT